AAAACAAAAAGAAAAAACTGAAATACACCCGAATACAAAGCTCCTCCCATTTTCAATGGTCGGTACGAAAAAAAACTACATGAGTTTTTTCTTTTGTCTTCCTTTAAATCCCACACGCTATGATAAAAAAGAGAAGGGCATTTTGTAATTTTTTGATAGTGTGAACAAACGTTAAAAAATTCAAGGCAGCCGACAATGAGCAGAGTTTATAAACTACCCAAAAGTTACGTCAATTATGTAGGAGTTTTCCTGATTTGCGTAATTATGAAACAACCGTTACATCATTGTTATATTACAGCTCCGTATAATCGGCTGCTTTATATGGTAGCTGGCTCGGGTCTAGGACAACAAGCCAACGGGACTTCAGGCCGAAATTTTAACTTTATAATGATCTATAAGCACTATTTTTCATCTGATTTAAAAAAAAAAGGCAAGTTTAGTCGATAATGAGCGTTTTTTTATGACAATGCACCCCTTAGGAAGGGCATTCATAAATCAGCAGGATTTTGAAATGAATAATTTAGAAACGTAAATAACGCCTTCAAAAATGTTTTAAATTTTAACTTACCTTAACATCAATTAAAAGTTAATTTTTTTAAACCAGCCAAAAACTGAAAGGAAAAGCCATGGAATTGAGAATATTTTTAGACCACTTTTCAATTCATTCATATTTCATGACTTTTTGAGAAAAACTTTGGCTTGAAATCCCTTATTTTACAATTCGGCTTGATGTCACGTCGACTTGATATCCGGCACCGAGCTGGCTCATATTGCAACTGGATTATCTACCACATGCTAAACAAGATTGCTCGTATATCCGAACAAAGCTCTGAAAATTTCGGCTGCGCTTAGTGCCAATTGAATTTTTTTTTGCTTGAGTATTTTTTTTTTTTTTTTTCCTCATTTATTCCCCACACACAATGTAAAATACTACGGGTGTATTTTTCGTCTCGTTTTTTGATGATAGAGTTAAATGGTCTCAATTCAGTTTGAAACGCATTAATTCGCTTCTTATGCAATATATGGCAATTTAATTATCCCAAAGTGGCCAAATTTGCAATTTTCAAACGCCTGTAATTTTATAAAAAATGATCACAGGTGAAATAATTTTTTAAATTTGAGCCCATGATAACATTATTTCTCAGATGGTATAAAAAAAATTGACAAAAACGCTTAGTTAACAATTCGAAAATCGACTGAATAAAAAAAGCAACAGCAAGCATACTAATCCCCACTTTCTTCGAAAGTCGGAACAAAAAGTTAAGCTATTAATTGATTCAATTCGCAGTTCACGCATGTTATAAATATGCAGCATGTTGCGCGTTAATTATTCTAAATTGGTCATTTATCATTATTACACCTCCATGACTTCACAAAAATTTATTCGGGGTTTAAAAAAACTCAGATGGTGGAAAAAATTATCGAAAGTTGAAATTTGACTGAACACAAAAAAGACACCCCAGCTTAAAAAATATTTCCACATATTTCAAGCCAGAAAAATAAAAAATAATCAATCTGAATGGAATATAAACCAATCTAAATCTATTTTTTTCATTTCTCCTATATTTTTTCTGTGACATTTTAAACCGATTCAATTTAATTTGAATAGTTTTTTATACCTTCTATAATAATAACTTCATACAGGTTTGGGCCTTCAATTTTTTTTTCAAGAGAAATACTACACAATTGCCTACGTGGTTTGGTTTTTAAATTTCTAAAGTTCAATTCAAACTCTGTTAGTAAAATGGAAGAAAAATAGTTCTAACGGTGCATATCAGTTTTTAGATTTCCGTGTGGAAAAAGAACAATTATTCATTGACCAAATCTTTTCAAATTGGAGGACTTCAAAAAAATGGGTCACTCGTAATCGATTTAATATCTTGAAAAAATCAATAAAAAAGGAGAAATCTCTGGTAACAATTTATAAATCATAATTGATGGCAATTTTTTCATATAATTCAAAAATTGAAAACTCGAAAAAATGCAACAAAGTGAATGATTAATGTGTAAAGCCTCGTTTTTCCAACCATTGAAAATGGGGAGAAACTTTCTATTTGGATGTGTTTTAGTTTTTTCTTTTTTTTCCACACAAAATCAGGTACCACAAGTAATCATCGGATTATTAAAGCCCTTTCATATTAAAGACTTTTCAGTCGTAATTCAAACTATATTTCCGAAAAATCTTCAAAAAAATTATGTCGAGAAAAAATTCTAATTTCAATCGTAAAATCTCTTTTAGTCAAATAAATTGTTTGTTTATTTTTCAATCAGTTTTTTGTTGCTTTTTCGAGTCAGTTCTAAGTTATGCTATGCCTAAACGAAGAAATTCATAACTGGTTAGTTTTGCAGGAGAGTGTTCGTAAGAAAGACAGGGCGAAGGAGTTGACAGAAGTGGCCCTCTTCTGCGAGGAGGTCGCAGTGGACTTGACCACCATCGCCACTGGAGTAGTGTCCACCGGATCCATTCTCAAGGTCAGTCAAATGTTCTATAAAAGTGAGTGATCGATCCGTGAACAATCCGATCAGTGATTGAACAATCCGTGAACAAGAAACTTCAGTGGCGTCGAGGTGCTTTTAAGAGAATGAACGTAGTGAACACTCTTATATAAGTCTTGGTGATTTTTTGGTTTTTTGTTGTAGACTAGCTGTAATATTTCAGCTCTAACATTCAAAACTGTAATCTTTATACAGGCCGTGGACCATAGAAACATGCAGATACTTGACGTCTTGATGGAGTGTGAACAAAAAGAAGTTGTGGCACATTCTGCAGTCCAGAAATACCTCTCAGATATCTGGATGGGGGGACTACATCTCCCCACGTCCAAAATCCTCCTCCTTTTTGGCACCATTTTATTTCCCCCTTGCTTTGCATTTTTCTGCTTCCCTGTTAAATTCATGCGTATGAACAAAGTCCCAATAGTCAAAATGATGTTATACCTGACATCGCATATTTACTTAATTTTATTACTCACTCTAACTGTCGCGTTTCGACTTTACGAAGTGGAAGAAGATTACCTAATAGTTCCACCGTGGTATGAGTTCGGGTTATTAATCATGATGAGCGGTTTATTACTTTCAGAACTAACCAGTCCGTCTGACAAATCAGGTCTTGGTTGGATCAAGATCATTGTTATAGTCATGGCAGCCATATCGATGGCCATCCACATGTTTAATGCGGTTTCTAGCGGGGGTTTGGAATATCAATATAATACAATATACGTCAGAAATCAGCTCTTAGGAGCTTCGATACCTCTGACATTTGTGCAGTTCCTGGACTTCTTGACATTTCATCACCTTTTCGGACCCTGGGCGATTATTATTTTTGACTTAATGAAGGATCTGTTTCGATTTATGATTCTGCTAAGTTTGTTTCTGCTTGGGTTCACTCTGGAGATGACTGCTCTTAACCAGCCAGCTTATCCGAAGAAATTTTGCGAGGAGATTGGTCTCTACCCGGTAGAGTACCCAACGGGTAAGATTGAAAATTAATGATCGAGTAATAAGTGCTCAAACTAAAAAAAATGAGTTCACAAAAATTAGGTTTTTCTGAAAAAAAACATATGCGGATTTTAGATCCCAAAAGCACGTGGTCGTTTTCTCGTTTTCACAGACTTGATCGAACCAACCAATTACTTGTTTACTGTCTTCAAATCCGGGATTATGCTTTAATTTAATAAGTTATATGAGGAGATTATCATTGCCAACTGAAAAATAGTCGCAGATTGTAAAACACCAAAAATCCAGCTCAGCTAAGTCTGTCAAAATGTTTTTGGGATATTAAGACCCGCACATGTTTTCAGTTTTTTAGTTGTCTTCAGTCATTTGAAAAAATTATTATTTGATGTTTTTCCCCGATTTTGACAGGTAAGGAGATCCCCTATAAGGAGGGTATGTCTGTTCTTGGGAAGCAGTTTGAGAAGCTGGCCTTCGCCTTGTTTGGTCTGACAGATGACGACGACATGATCAAGGACTCCGTGTGTATTCCCTCCTGGGGGAGGAGTCTCATCGTGTTCACTTATGGAGTGTACCTCGTCATTTCCATCATCGTGCTCGTAAGTAGATACCCGGGATGACAGGAGGTGCTTAACATTTGAATAGGTTCCAAAGTCGAGGCTACGACATATCTTTCGACTTTTATGATTTGCGAGTGCAAATCCACGCTCGATGGGCAATCTTAAATTGAGCTCAAATTCGAAACGCACCACGCTTCAGCCGAGACATTTATGTGTGTCGTGGTCTCTTGTTTTCGAGGACACTTAATATCAAAACAGAGACCAGAAGTTGTTATGATACAAATCTCGAGCAGGGATCATGGTTGGCATCGAAACACTGATCCTACTATTTATAGAAAGATTTTTAAACTATCGCTTCTTAACTATAAGACATATTATAGTGAGCTTACTAACCCCCCTATTAGCGTTCTTCCATGAGATGTGACTATGTTGAAAGTTAAAGTTAACTAACTTCCGTGCATGATTTTTAACGGTTTTTTAACCAATAAAATGTAACTTCAAAAAGTGACTCGATTGCTTCTCTCAGGTGAATCTGTTGATTGCGATGATGAGTGACACGTACCAGAGGATCCAGCGCCAGTCGGACACGGAGTGGAAGTTCGGCAGGGCCAAGTTGATCCGCAGCATGAACCAGAGGAGTCCCACCGCACCCCCTCTCAATCTGGTGCTGGAGATCCTCATCTGGATCAAGAAGTTATGCGTCAACAGAGGTGAAAACAGGGGCGGATTTAGGGTGGGCGGGGGGCGGACGCCTTTTCTCCTCAGGGATTCGACCCCCTGCTGACCCAAAGGGTCCCACCTTTGTACTATTTTTCAATATCCATTTTTGGTGATGGACCCTAAAAAATTTTTAAAGGCGCCTTTGGCGCCAATATATACTAATTTTGAGGGGGGAGCGCGCGCTAGAAAAACGCGATTTTTTGGTTCAAGTTTTCCAAATTTTGCCAGCGGCACCAAAATTTGGCCAAAATAGGGACAAAACAATGCTTTGGGAGAGCTCGAAAAATCAATTTGGTCGACCCAAAAAAAAAGGTCTAAATTTCGAAAATTTTTTGAAAATCCGCCCCTCCTCGAGAAAATCCTAGATCCGCCTCTGGTGAAAAATATACAATAACTCTTTTCTTAGTTTGAGAGTCTTACTCAGAATTGAGGACACGAATTTCAAATTGAGCAAAAAAATAACGAATTTGAAAAAAAAGTACACTTTGTGTTGTCTATAATATGCAATCTTCTGCATTGGGTTGCGAATTGTGTGTGTATATTCAGAGAACATCTTCGGTATCCAGCGAGTGCAGGAGGAAGAGGAGTCTGAATCGGAGCAAGTGGCTAGAGCAGAGTCCAGATCTTCAGTTGGGGCCGGCAGGGCTAAAATGAAAGGGGACAAGAGAGAAGAGGAGGGAGCCGGGGGGACGGGAGGGGGACCTGTCAAGATTGAACACGTAATCTTCTGAATTGTTCAAAAGCGGAAAATTGCATAAAATTGGTTGACTAAATTGATTTTTCGAGCTCTCCCAAACAACTAGAAAGACGCTGTTTTGGCAAAATTTTGAAAAAAAAACTGGCCAGAAAAGGCTTTTTTAAAAAAATGTTGACCAAAAAATCTCGTTTTTTTTTCGGCGCGCGTTTCCCCCTCAAAATTAGTAAATATTGGTGCCAAAGGCGCCCTTAGAAAACTTTTTTTAGGGTCTGTCAGCCAAAATGGAGATATCTCAAAATAGTATAAAGGGGGCCCTTTGGGTCGGCAGGGGGTCGAATCCCTGAGGGGTGGATGAGGGGTCGATACTGATCATAAGGTCTTGTCGAGAACTTTAGAAATACAAACTTGATAGTGGTTTTCAAGAGCGCAAAAATTAATAGTTAAAATAACTTCGACAAAATGTTTAAACATTTTTTGAAAATTCCCATCTTAGATCCGCGCCCCCATGAAAATCTTGTCTAGATCTGCCCTACTGAAAATAATCAATCAGGGTCACCATAATCTCAAAACTTAGTGCTGATTTTTATCTCCGTTGGGTAAAAAAACAAAGTTTCTGTTAGTTTTTCAATGTTTGCCTACGACGGCACAGAATTAAAGCCAAGTAGCAAAAAGATCGATGCTATAAACACAACTTTTTGTATTATTTTTATTTCGATTTGATCCGATGGAGTTTCTATGGCTCAAGAGCATCCAACAAAAAGTAAAAAAAAATGCCGATAGAGGCCATTACTAGGCCAAACTGTGTATTTTGTGAATTGTAAGCGGACTCCGCAAGGACGCTCTCTTTGTTCTTTTTTTTTTTTTTTTTTCGTTTTTTTAATCATTCCGAAAAATTTTTAACGTATGTTTAAATACTTTTCTCTGGATTCCAGGAACAGACCGACACAAAACTGTGCGCCTATCCAGCGCACAGTGTGGCTTCGTAAAGGCCATTTTCAGAAATTTGACAGAATTTAGTTGTGTCTCATGAGAAATCTAATCTGTAATTAGATATTAAGTTATCTAAAGTTCACAATTGCCGTTAAAAACCGGATACGCTACTTCTGTTACTTATTTTGCTCCGACTTCTGAAGAAAACGACAGAATCTTTATGATTGGAGTCCTTTTTTATTCAATATTATCTTTTAAATTGGTTTTTTTGGCAAAATAGGTACACCAACTGAAAACTATCAACATCTCGAGCTCAAATTCAAAATTTTTTTAGCCTTTAACTTATTTTGAGAAGTTACCTGGGTTTAAAAATGGCCGTATGGGACAACTAATGCGCGCAAAATGTAAATTTTTTAGTGGATGCGCAGCAAACTCAGCGAACGAAACAAGCTCAGAGATCATTCCAATCTAAATTGCGACATGATAACTCAACCAATTATTGACATAATGTGTTGGAAAATGCGAAAGAAATGAAATTAATGGCTTATATGTGCTGTGGGGCGAAAAAAGATTTCACAAAAAGTAAATAAACATTTTTTTAAAATATCAAGGTTTTTTGGTAAAAGTTAATTGAGGCATCTGGAATTAGATTCTTAGATCGAGAAGCGTCCACAAAAATGTTTTTAGATTGAAAAGCATGCGTCCGTAAAAAAATCGGTCCGATTGAATCAAACTTTCAGCTCGATAGAAATTGTATAATTTCGTCGAGGAATAAAAATTTGAATCCAACCTTGTCGACCGCGGCTGAATTAAGCTTCGCTTACACCTTGGCAGCGAGTTTTTGTATTATGCAGAAATATACAAGGATAGCCGGTTACTGTGCAAGTAGCACTGGATGTTCCGACCATAATCTTAAAAAGTACCAAAACATTTTTTTCCAAAATATTGCCGTTTTTTCTGCATGGTGTGATAAAAAATTTTAATGAAAATATTTTTGCGAAAAAATTTAGAAATTTGAAGATTTTGATTGCCAAATAAAAACTTTCCAAAAATTAACTTTACTCGAGCAAAACTAAGTTGTCATTCTCGAATTTAAGCATAAAAAGCTTTTGTAAGTCTGCTTAGCCTCACCTTATCAGCTCAAAGTTAGACAAAAATCAAAGTCTTCAAACCGGTTTTTCTCGACACTGATAATTTTTTGTGGGAACTTTTTAAATATGGTTCAAATAAAAACTGAAAGGGATAAATCACTCAATTCAGTCCGGTGATTGTTTGTGGTACCTGATTTGGCTTGGACAAAAAATAGAAAAAACTAAAACACGCCCAAAGACAATGTGCCTCCGTATTTTGTAAAAGGTCGGAAAATTTAAAGAAGTGCAATCATTTTTCGAAAAGTTTCGAGGTTTCGAAGAAGATAGTATGGGAAATTTGCGATAAATCAAGCGCAAATTCTGGTATTCTCGTGGAGCGTAATAAGTGATTAAACCCGACGTTTTCGATAAAAATTATGCGCAAATTTTTTTCCAAGTTGAGTTTAGACTTGTTAGTTGCTTCAAAGAATTAGTTTCTATTTATTTGAGGGCCATGTAGGTTTGTGTTCATATTGGTTGTAGATGAAAGTGATTCTAGAAAAGAAGTTTCATCTTGTTTTTTTTATAATATGTATCGAAAATCTCATTAGTCTAAAACCATCGGACACTATTTAACTTTCGCTAACATCATGTTCGATACTTTGGCCTTGAATGTTCTTGCAAGATTTGAGAAGACAGGCGGAACCAAAAATTAAATGCAAAACTTGTGAAGAGTCAGTTGTTCAATTTCAGATTGGGATGAGGTCAAAATTTTTAAGAGTCGATGAACGTAGTTCAGAGACTCTCACATGGCTCGTGATAAATTTTTTTTTTTTTTTAGTAAGAATCTAAAGGCTTGTTCAGCCTCAAAATTGTTTTTTCGCGGTTTGACTTTTGATTGCTTTTTAAGTACAGTTTATTTCCTTTTTTACAAGGAAGGCAAAATACCCTGTCGAATTGGGTTAATTTTATCAAAAAACTGTCAATTATAAATAGCTCTAAAAATTTAAACAGCTTTGAAGCCATCTAATTTTCTTCCTTGAAATATAAAAGTTTTTAAAAAAACAAGTCAGTAGTTTTATTTGTTTGCTTGCGTTCTTGGATTATTTTCCAACTGTATGTTGGCTATGTAATAGTTTTTCAGTTATCATCTGGATTTCCTCTCAGAGTTCTTCTTTTTGTCCGTTCGTGTGAAAACTGCAGTTGTAATTAAATTAACCAAGCCATTCTGCTAAATTAGCAAGAAAGAGGTAGTCAACTTGGTCATAGGTTTCATCAGTGCAAAGATCATAAGATCTAAACTCCGCAAAACGATTTATGATCAGCTGAATAAATATTTTATATCAAAATTTTGGCCTTGTTTTTGTTTGTTGAAAGCCCTGATTTGTGACTTGTGGTAGATGAAATCAATTTTTACCTTCTTGATAAATTTTAACGATCAAAAAATTGGCTAGATTGCGTTATTGAGTTTTTCTCAAAATAACCTGGAGTTAAAGAAGAGGAATGAATCGCACATCGCACATCGCAACGAATCAGAGATGCTGAATCAGAGTTCAACGTCATTCTAATTTGAATGAAAAGTAATTTTTGAAGATACTTCCTCAACAAAATTTAGTGGAGGCGATCATTTGTAACAAGCGACCATTTTTTATCTCCAAATTGAAGGCGAATACTAATTCACGCACCCTATACAGCTGGTGCCGAACAGAAAAGGTTATCAAAGTAAAAAATGAAACCAGCGCTCCATTGCTGCCAAAGCATTTTTAGGAATTGTTACACCCAAACGTCTTTGTACAAAACTGCTATTTTCTTGACATTGTTTTGCGAATGCATGCGCGAAAATGACTTGATGGGGGAGACGAACCAAATTTTGACAGTTTTGGATGTTTTCATTCTAATTAGGTTATTGTAAATATGCAAGTCCGACAACGATCAGTTTATCTTCTTTTTTCTGAATGAGAGTTTTATTTTCTGACTGTAAATTCTGCATTTTGTTTTATCGCGCACCACAAGAAAATTTGAAATCGTTAGTCATTTAAAGTTAAATTTTTCACAATAAAAAATGTTTTGCTTTGAAAAATCCAATTTCCGCCTACTAGGTGGCCAAAAAACTGCAAATTCATTCCAAATATAACCACATAATCTACAAACTTATAAAAATTTCAATTTCTTGGCTGACCTTTCTCATCTTTTAAATCGTGTTTTACTCCAATCTTTGTCAAAGATCAAAATTCAAAACAAAATTTCTCTGATACCAAATTCTAATCAGCTGCAATACAAGTGTATCCAAAATTTTTTGGACGCATAAGCATAACCGTTAAAAATTCTCTGTAAAATATGCCGAAAAGCTTTCTAACTGTTTTTTCAAGCCGTTCTTCACAGACATTCAGTACGCTTCTTATAAATTTAACTCGACTGTTATACAAGTGCAAAACATAACAGTCGATTGACAATTCGTTCCCTACAGATCACCAACAAATCCTTCTTTTTTGTTCAAATACATTCTATCATCGAATTCTCTCAACAATTTTGAAGCTTTGTGTATCAAAAAACATTTTTTTGATTGACAAAATCATTAGAGTCGCAGGAGTGGTTCTCTAAAGGGTATATTTTGGATTTCATTGTTTCTCTTCAATCCTTTTCTATTTTTCGAATGCATGATTAATACTGCCAGCATGGTGTCGAAAATCCAATGAACCTTGCATATCTCTCCTCAGGAATTCGTGAAAAACACCGGAGTGTTGATTGGTGTTTCGACAATTGCAAGATTCTGATTTTTATCTGGCGCTACTATGATCTCTGACAATAAATGTGCAAGAATCGAATCTCCAGGACTTTTAGGCCTCCCGACAACCAGAATTTCGATTACTCGAAAAAAATTCAAATGTTCCAGAGATGTTGCAAAGAGACAACCTAATTATGCGATGCAACTTCAAAAGTTTTCAGTTGCTTGGTTTTTCTTTGTTTTCAATGCTTTCTTTTTCATGCAGTGCTTGCTTGAGATAAACTTTATTTTCGTCTGCACACAGTTTGTTTTTTGCAAGCAATGGAAATTTCAAATTTTCAAAATTCGTTCAATTTTTGAAGCAAACGAGACCATTAATTGAGTCTTATTGGATATTTTTCATTATCTCATTTGAGCATTTTATATAAAAAAAGTGATCCGACTAAATCTAAGATTGACTTAGTTTTATACAGTAACGGTCTCATCATTCAAAACGAACGAGCTAAAATCATCGTTATTCTATTTTCTGTAAAACAAAATGAAATTTTGAAAAGAAACATGAACAAAACCAGGAATTTTTTGCCTTGTAGCTTGCTGGAAAAACTTTTGATGTTTTTGCGATTTGATTTGGATTACAAAACATTTTGAAACTAAAAAAAAAGTTTTAAAAAATTCTAGATCTATCGAAGGTTCTTATGTCTGGGTTATCTAGATTTTTAAATTCAAGTCTCATGAAATTGAACTGAGTTTATTTTATCATTATAATTGATTTTAAAAAATTCTGGAAAACTTTCGAATTTTTGATACACCTAGTTTAAAAAAAAACTTTCAGCTCATCAATATTTGGAATAGTGTTCATTTAACATAGCGCATACTGAACTTGGTTTGATAGACAAGATGCCCAAGTTTTCGTAATGCGACAACTCGCGACAAAATACAACTCGCAATAAAAGAGAACTCGCATTAACAGGCAATTTGCAATAAACTCAACGCCGCAGTCGCACCAAGAGTTTGATCCCAACTGTTCTAACCTCATCTAATTTGATTTCAACCAATTCTGCTTTTCCTCTCAGTCGGTTCGAGTGAAAAGTAATTTTTTTCGCCTATTGAATTTTTCAAAAGTTAAAAACTTTTTATTTATTTCTTAAGACCGGATTGGCGAATGACAGATTTTCGGTTATACTCCCCAAATGATAAAAAAAATATTCCGTTACTTTTGTTACGAAAGCCGGAACAACAAGACTGCTTATATCAAGGCAAAGGCATGAATGTTCCGACTGCTTTTTTTTGGCAATTAACAGGCAATTTGCAAAAAACTCAACGCCGCAGTCGCACCAAGAGTTTGATGCCAACTGTTCTAACCTCATCTAATTTGATTTCAACCAATTCTGCTCTTCCTCTCAGTCGGTTCGAGTGATAAGTAATTTTTTTCGCCTATTGAAATTTTCAAAAGTTAAAAACTTTTTATTTATTTCTTAAGCCCTGATTGGCGAATGACAGATTGTCGGTTATACTCCCCAAATGATAAAAAACATCCCGTTACTTTTGTTACGAAAGCCGGAACAACAAGACTGCTTATATCAAGGCAAAGGCATGAATGTTCCGACTGCTTTTTTGATTAAAATTTTTTTAAAACAAGATTTTTTCGAAAGTCAACCCCCGACACGCTATATAAGTACAAAGTGATAGATTTTGCTCCTAGTAACAAATCAAATTTGGCAAATAGCATGCTTGAACCAACTTGGAACAATTTCTAAGACGGATTAAATCTCCGCTTATGCGTTAATAGTGTGAAATATATTGCTAGTTTATTGTCCAAAATTGGCGAAAATGGCAACCTTTAAACCCCCATAAGTTTACAAAAAAAAGATCGCAGAAGAAATATCTTTTCAAATTTGACCTCAGTGCAACAATACTTTTCAGAAGATATAAAAAATTCCGTCAAAAATGGCTAGTTAAAACATCGAAATTTGTCCGAAGAAAAAAAAACCACTCCGAGCACAAATATTCCGTCACTTTCTTCGAAAATCGGAACAAAAAGTGGAAGTCAATGTGGCTTCTCGAAAATTAAAGTGATTTTTACGTAAAAATTCAGGTTTTTTATCCCGAGCGTGAAATCAAGCTTGAAAAATGAAAAAAAATGCCTTTTAAATAAAAATTAAAACCGCATTTGGGATCCCTTTTATGAAATTTATGTGAATAATACGGCGAAGAAATAAAAAAAGCTACTTTGACGCTAAATTTAGTAAATATGCTTCTTTTCCATTTTACTATCTTGCATTTCCTAGTAATTTTGATCCAATTTCAAATTTTAAAATTTTTCAATTTCATTTTTCATCATTTAGGAGAGGGGTGGGGGATATTACCGAAAAGACCCCACATTGGTACACCTGGATCATTTTTAATTCACTGATTATTTTCACTTGTGAGCTAAACGTTAAGAAGCAGTTCTGTTGCATATGTTTGATTGACAGGTGTGTGATTGGAAGAATGTGAGCAGACGTTACAAGGACATGCACCAGATTGACCTTGAGGAGTTAGAGAAGACCAGAAACAAGTCGGCCGAGGCAAGTGCCTAGATTTTACAATGCGCATTATCCCATTCCACTGCCTTGATTTGACGCCATGTTTATTTTTAAATTTTGATTCATGGTTTGATTTTGATGAAATGTTTTAAGGACGAAACTATACCACATGCAAACAGCTGGTCATTTTTGGATGAATTAATCTTTAAAAACTATCCAAAACTATGCAAGCTTCAAAAAATTCAATCAAATTGGTTTGAAATTTGTCAACTCAAAAACATGAGCCAAAGCAGTAAATATAGATTTCATTTAAGGAACCCGGGAAAATGAACATTATGTCTCCGATGTCGGGCAAAACAGCGGACGAGCAGTAATCAACTTACTTCAACAGATTTGAGAAGCGAAGCGCATTTTTCGATGAATTGTCGAGTACGAATCCGGCGAATTGAGCAACTGAAGATAAAGAAAATTGTACTTTTGGCGCCCGAGTTTGAAGAAACTGGTCACTGTCTCCAATTATACCTTGTTGAATAAATAGTGTCAATAGGAATCAATAAGTGAACTGTCCATCTCCCCTATTATTTTTAACTTACTACCGATTGCGATTGATTGGCACTGGTCTCTAAATCATCGATACTTGATAATTTATTTTCTGGGATTTATTGGTTATTCCTCATTTCAAGTTCAATTAGGGCCTGTTTAAAAAAACGGTTTTGAAACAAAAAATATATTAAAAAGTAATGAACATCAATGCATTAATCTATATAATACAGCGATAAGTGACATAATTTCAACATCTCTTATCGATAAAGTAGCGGAAAATGATGACAAAAAATAAAAACATCAAAAGTTGCATTACTTGATTCAATTATAATTACAATTTTTATTCATATTATCAATCTTTTCATGAGCCAATCGGTCTTCATCTTCGAAGAGAAATTTGACATACCTGATTTGTTACCATTAAATTTGTCGAATTTTACCATTTATGATCGAATCTATGTAGATATCTGTAACATTTGTACATAGATACATAGATAAAACTCTGAACAAACTGTGTTTTTATTTTGATAGTGTTCATGTATTCAAAAGAGTTTATTTATCTTGAATTATGGAATGCGGATGATGATTGGATTTGATGGTCTTTTGGAGTAGTTTTTTGTCTGAAGGGCAAAAGACAAATGTCGATTAATTTGATGACCAGTAAAGACATTCGCGAGAAGTTCTCGAGGCCAGTGATCTCATTTGCGTCAGACAAATCTGAAAAAAAAAATCAAATTAATAGAAAAAAACCACGCCACTACCTTTGGAAACCTACAACTTTGTAATCTATAGAGGCTAGAGCAAACTTTTTATAAATATACAAAAATCACAAGTAGTGGTAATAATATACAAAAATCTAATTAGCTTTTACCAGTTATGACGCAGTCTGAAATGTTTTCCGCGCAAATTTTGGTACTCTACAAATATCCTAGAGGATAGAGCATGGTATCAAATTTCAGTCTTTCAGTGGTGATGTCGATTTAAAAAAAACGATTCGAAAAAAGTCTCTCAGTTTTTGTAACTCAGAGATAATTAAGTCAGGGAAGTAAACAGCAATGTAATAAGTCTTTCTTTTTCAAAGGAAATTTAATTGGAATACTGCAATTTTTGAGCATTTTGAATTCCTTACATGAAACATTTGAGCCTGATAAGTGGCTTATAAAAACCAAAAAACAGTTCAACACGAAATAGCAATTGCATTTTCCCAACGTTTTTTTTATATTACGCTAATTTTTCTAATTAAAATAATTTTAAATTACATTACTACCACATTCAAGATTACCAAGAAAAGGGTTCACCGTGTTAGGTTGTGTATTTTTGTTTTTTCAGATTCAATTTTTTTATCATCAAAAGTATCGGTTTTGGCGTTTTGCTAATTTTTTTGGTTCAATTTTCGAAAAAAAGTTATCGAATGTTAGAAAAGTCAGTATAGATACTAAATTTTTTTTGTATAAACTCGAACTTTTCAACTGAGTATTGATTTTTCAAACTATTAAGCCAAAATTTCAAAAAAAAACACTTAAAACCGTAAATTTAAGTTAGCACCAACACAAAACAAATGAGAATAGCGTTGAACGATGAGCAACAGCTTTTGAGAAAAATAGTGTTGCAATAACAAACAAACAACTCTAAAAACTAAATAAAATGAGGGATATTCGATGGTTGCGCAAGTCGTGTTCTGATTTCAGATTGAAACAGAAACATGAATAATTTGATTGTGCTCACAAAGTGTGACGCCGCCACCACCACAAAATAAATGTTTTTATCCCTTTGCAAAAGGAAGGGAAATGCTTTTGGAATAATTCGTATAACCTTTTAAGCATTGAGAAATGAAGCGACTATTCTCATTCAAAGCGAATAATAACGATTCCTCTTTGTAAAATACGAGCATACGAAAAATTCTTCTAGTGAGATACGAATGCACGAATAATATTCACGAAAGAATACGAAGTTAAAAAGTAACTTCACGTTTGATACAAAAAAATGGGAGATTTTCCATTTGAGTATAAATAGAAGCTAAAGACTATTGAAATTTATTCCAACAAAATCTCACAAAAAACCAACACCACTCTCTTCAACCACCCCAACCATTCTCTATAAAATATTATCCATTCTCAGTAAAAATACCTCTAATCTCCCCCTTAAAATAAATATTGAGTCAAAGGCAACTTGCAGTAAATTGATACTAAGTTTTTTTTCTAATAAAATATTTTTCAGCGAATTTTAGATTTACTTTCTAAGATAGAAAATAGAAAGGTTACTGTATTTCAAGCAAGCGTTTTGTCCGGCGTACAAAGTATTGCTAGCGTAATAGTAGCACCGTACGATCAACGCACAGAAAGATTAGACTGTGTTTTTTACGTTTCAAAAATTATGCGTTATTTTAACACATTTTTGCAATTGTTTTTTTTCTCAAAGAGAAATTTAAAAGTTGATCATATCTCCTACAGGTAAGCTAAGCGTAGTCAACAGACAGTTGGAAAAGAATCAATGAACGCAAAAAAAACATCAAAAAATGACTTCTTATGAAAAAAAACGTAATTTTCGTAAATTCGAACAAAAATATAGCCGTAAAAATTTATGGATTTCGAGAGCGAAAAGTAATTGCATTTTTGATAAAAGTAACCCAATTTGAGGAAACTGGAATTTTAGAAAAAGTTATCTTCTAGCGAATGATCTACAATTAAACTCACAACAAAATCAGTACGATCTATAAAAGCGTCTGAACTAATTTATCAACCCTTAAAAAGAAACTACTAAGCTACAGCTTAAGAAACTGAAAAACTGTTCGTTCAGCTGTCAAAAAATTATACTTTGAGGAGTGAGCCATTACTCAAGCTAATCTCAGAAGCAAAAACATCGAGCCGCTTTTTCTTGGCTTTTTCGTCTTGAGAACCTTAAATTTTTGAAAAATCTCCCAAATCATACCTACAATTCTTTTTAAAAGACATATCATGCGATAAGTATTTAAGGCATCTAATTTTGCGTGAAAATTAAGGACATCCAAATGCAAACTTGCGTCCAACATTTAGCAGTCGGAACGGACGTATTTTTTTCCAATAAGAACCTAATCGAGAGGCAGAATGTTTATTGTTTTGATTTTTCCAGACTTGCAGTGGATATATGCAAAAAATCAAACAAAAATACAGCTCTGAAACTTACCATTTAAGCAGTAAAAATTGCTAATAAGGGATAAAATGAAAATTCATTTCTATTTCATGACTAATTCATCGCTAACCCATCGCTAAAAAAATCATCCCTAAATCAGCCCTAATTCAGCACTAACAGTTGCTATTATGGCGAAAAAATTAAAATTCATCGCTAGTTCATCGCTAAAATTTTCGGATTTTCCAGCTATGAATCATTGCTAATTCAGCGCTGAAATTTTCTATTTGGGTAATTATTTAGTGCTAAATTACCGATGGTGAGCACTGTTTTTTCAATTTTCCATCGCTAACTCTCAATAGGAACTCGAATAACCTATTCAAATACAAATTGAAATATTTAATTATAAAATTGATATTTTCGCTTTAAAAAAGACTCACCTGTTAGACATGGTTTTCGTTTTGCCCTTATACACTTGTGAATTTGTCTGTCGGACTGAAGTCGGGACTGTACATATTGGCTCTAGCGTACACTCCACCTCTCGGCTGCTGCATCGAGGCCGAACTGGACTCGGAGTCGAAAGACGACGTCTGTAGTGCCACCGGCTGGTTAGTGTGTTGCTGAATAAATGCCGAAGCCGACATTGGAATGCCTCCCGGTGTTACTATATGCTGCCCGGGATGTGCTCTCTTCGGCGGCGCCGGCGGTGTCACCCGGTTGGCGCCGGGTCGGTTTGACGTCGTCCCGTAGAGAGTCTCAGCGGGGTTTCCGGTGGCTCCGCCAGGAGTCGACAGTCCTAACTGGCTTTGCTGGCGTGGAAGGGAGCACATTCCTTGCATAACAGATGACTGTGGAATTGATGACAAATTAACATTAAGATGATTTGCAGTAGATGCGGATTTTGAGAGTGGAATGATTTCTCCTGTTACCGCGTCGGCCATGCCGTGGAAATAGGCCGGGTTTACTGTCTGTTTGGCGGCAAGAAGGGGTGTTTGATGTATCGCCCCGTCCCCAAGCCCATTTAGCCCTGTTGTCGTTACGTATGTGGGTCCTAGAACTCTTCCTCCGACCGGGAGGGTTTTGGGCGCCTCGAAGGTTTCGGCACCAGAGGCATGTTGCTGCTGCTGTTGTTGTTGTTGTTGTTTACTGGAAAGTGCCTCCTAAATAGAATGACTCAAATAGGTCGCGAAAAACTTTCAATTGCCTTATTTTGCCACCTTTTTGTTGTGAGCGCATGCTTTGAGTGCATTATATTATTTTCATTTTTCAGTTAAATCATTTGTACAAAAAGCAAATCATAGATTTTTGCAAGCTGAAAATTTGAACTGTTTTCTTCAATTTTCTTTTGCAAGAAGCTGGAATTTTTTTGTCCTGGTAGTCATTTTATTGTATTTTTGTTAGCTTAGCGCTTTCAAACAAATCAGTTCACAGTTTTTTCTGTATTATGTAAAGGTCACAATTCCGTTTGCACCGTAAATTTGGTTCCAATTTTGACTTTTTATGGGTTCATTTACACCTGATTCCAGAGCATATAAGGTTATCACAAGGCACCTAAAAAATATAACTCATAACATTTGATTAATGACTTATAAAGTAATTTGCAAAGCAAAAAAGAACATTTGAAAAACCCGCAGCCCATCATTTGAACACCCCGACCTCTCATCAGTATTAATATTTTTGCTAATTTAGTTAGACTTTTCAGCAATTTGAAGCAACTAATTCAGTGCTAGGACAACATTTAGCGAAGTTTTTAATTTTTGATTAACGGGTCTTTTTGGTTACAGTTGTACATCCTAAATGATGAAAATTGAAGATGAAACTGTTTATAACAAAAAAGGATCGTTATCACTAAAAAATGCTAGCTGTCAATATGGCGCAGGCCAAAACAAAAGCGGTTCGAATTCAGCATGAAACAAGTTCTTATCCCTTTTTTTGCACTTTTCTTTACATAAATTTCACATAAATGAGTCCATATGCGCTCTAATTGATATTTAAATCCCATTTTTGTTATTTTTGAGTTGATTCAAGGCTCTAAGGATCAGCCGTGCATTTCTCAGTTATATTGATTCAATTTTAATTTTTTTCATCATTTGGTGGGGTTATAACTTTTTTTTCATCATTTTGGGGGTTATAACCAAAAAAACCCGATTCACTACAATGCAACTTTTTTTTAAATATCAGAATGCAGTGGTTTCGGTCAGCGTTTCATTATTTGCGGGAGCAAGTTTTTAAGACCAAAACTTTATCGAGCAGCAAAGAAGTTTTGGTTTAAGCCATGGAAGAGGAAAACTAGCGTTATAAACAGTTATTTTTACATAAAGTGAAGCCGTTATAACATTGTTGACCAGCAAAACAAAAATAACTGTTTGCATAAATTTTAGATAAAATCTGAAGCATTTGATAGCATTCAAATTTTGCGTTTTTTTATTTCATCCACTTTTACTATATAATTGAGCCTTTTTGTTCTGCTGCTTTTAGCACTGTCATTTATGCTACTTTAATGCGAAGAATGAAATAGAGAAAGAATTACGAAGTTGAATCAGAGTATATAGGCTCTTGCAAAAAAATTCAAAAGCAAAAAAATTCTGTCTACCTTCGCTATTTTTTCACGACTTCATGAGGAATATGGCGCTTGAGCTTTGAATAGCTTCCCTTAGCAAAAATTAATTGAATAAGCTCTGACAGGGGTGGATCTAGGATTTTCTCGAGGGGGGGTGGATTTTCAAAAAAGTTTGTCGACCTTTTTTTTAGGTCGACCGAATTGATTTTTCGATCTCTCCCTATGCACGGTTTAGTCCCTGTTTTGGCCAAATTTTCTGCGCTGCAGGCAAAATGTTGAAAAACAGTCCAAAAAAGGCGTTTTTAGGCACTTTTTGGAAAACTTTGACCAAAAAATCGCGTTTTTTCGGCACGCGCTCCCCCCTTAAAATTAGTATATATTGGCGCCAAAGGCGCCTTTAGAAAAATTATAGGGTCGGTCGACCAAAAATGGGTTTCTTAAAAAGTACCAAAGCGGGACCCTTTGGGTCGGCAGGGGGTCGAATCCCGGAATAAAAGAGTGCGTCCGCCCCACCCCCCCTCCCTAAACCCGCCCCTGAGCTCTGATTAAACTTTGTCAGACAAAATAATATACATATAAGTGGCAGCATGGGTTATATCAGTTCAGTTCAAAGGTCATACTCGGCCACCATCATTTGTCGCGTTACTTGTAACTTACACTATCTAGTTCGTCCTGAAATGAAGATCAAGGTCAACTAATGTTACAGAACAGATAAGACGTGAACATCTAAATACGTCGAACTGAAGTTAAATGTCAAAAAGTTACGCTAACGGATGCTGAAACTAAAACGAAAACTGAAAATCTGAAAATAGACAAGAAAGTGATTTAGGAGAGCTAAGTGATTTTAATGATAATGCAATAGTTTTTTTTCATCCTGAAGTTACTTGTATGAAGTTTTTAAAAACCGAACGTTTACGAAAAGCAACGTCGATACTTATACATTCAAAGCACAGAACTAACAGATTTTTTCTAATGAAAACAACTTGTCTTTTCTTAATAACTTTCGGAGTGATATCTTCTTACGTCTTAATTTTGAAATTCTATATGCTGTAAATTCAGGTCTTTACATTTGTAAGATTCAGTTGTAAGATTGTAAGAAAATTTGTAAGATTCAGGTCCTTACATTACTGCTAGTTTCAACAAAACCTTTCGACAACTGTTTTTGTGACTTATGATAAACATTTTTAAAAAATTACAATGAAAAATTTAAACTTGTGTCAAAAACATTTTATTTTAACATTTAATATATAATAAAATATTCACAAAGAGATGGCGGAGGTAAATTTCGAATTTACAACCACATTGTTCATTTCTTCAAGATTAAGTTTAACATATAGGGTTTAGGATAAATTTTTGAATTTTGAAGTAAAAGTTTTAGCAAATTTTACCTCACAATGTTGATAGCAAGCTATATGTTTTCAGTTTTTTTTACATCCTTGATAAAAAGTAAATCAGCAATTGAAAGCTTGCAAACTGAAGGAATTTTCATTCAGATGCATATATTGTTTTTTTTTCTTAGCACATCAATTATCAGCGCCCAACTTCAAAAAAAGCTCAGCAGCCAATGTCTTGTTTCCTTTCTTAATCACAGATTTCATTGAGTCGCAAAAAGACAATTTATTTCTTACAAAAATTCGAGTTCACTAAAAAATTTGTAAAATAAAATTTACTACTACCCCAGATACCATCGGTGAATTATAATTTTTGTTTTGCGATTTCAAAAATTGTTTCAGAAGTAAACTCAAACTTCAAGCCGAACTTTTTGTGGTAAAGTTTCAAAGTAAACTCAAACTTCAAGTCGAGCTTTTTTTGTTAATCATAATTTCTGGTTCAAAATATTTAAAAATTACATCTTTCACATTTTACATGTTTTAAACCTTCACAATGGAACATTTATATAAACACACTTAAACTGGTTTTGTATATCAAATTTTATGCAGACTAAATAAAGATTTTATACAAAACATATACAAATTATATTTAGTTTTGATACAGACACTACCCGCACTGGAGTTTCTTGAATAATAGTCAGTATCCATAAAACTACAAAGGTAAAAGATTAGAATCCATTAAAAAAGATTATAATGCTAATATTTTTTATGCCATTATTATCCATTATAATCGATTATAATGGAACTTTTGAGAGGTTAATTAATCATGAAACTTACAACTTTTTTCAAAGTTGTTTTATTTCCTGTTTAGTGCAGTTGCTACGTATTACGTTTCATGAAATGTTATATTTACATTTCACATTAAAATTTATTTTTTGTTGTCTCTACTTTTTCAAATCATCTCATTTTACATCCCTTTTAACTTACCCCCACTTTACTCCCCCCCCTCGTTTACGCCCCTCCCTGCAAGTTTACCACAAGCGCCATTTGCATTCCCTTATGACTGAACATGGGTGACTTTTTATTGGTAGACTTAGGGGAAGGGGTTAATGATTGTTCCTTTGTTACAGCTAATTCTACTTAGTTACAGATAAAAATAAGTTTAAGAAGTGAATTAATCTCAAAGTTAAAACATTAAATAGTGAGAGAGCATTCTCTTTGCCGGAGTGAATGAACATAACAAGGTCAAATCTAAACTAACCAGTTAAAGTAATTTAAGACTAATTAAATTAAATAAGAAAGAATGGTATGATTCGCAACATTCCCTTTAGTGGGAAAAAAAATAAACTACTATACGCTACAATACGTAACAGGATAACTGACCCTTTTCTCCCCCTTAAGGAGTCCACCAAGGGATTGAAAAAAAATTAAGTACTGCCCAATACAACAGTGAAATTTTAATGCTCCGAAGGAGTGACTGATTAGAAAGAGGAATAGCACAATTCATGATTCCGGCGGATTATAATCAATGACTACAAAAAGTAGATAGATTCTAACTGCACTGTAATGAAGTACTAATAAAATTATTAAAGTCTAAATGCGAGTTTTTGTTTTAGTTTAACTGTCCCCTTCCATAAATTTCTTTAACTCCGCGTTGAATATTTCATTATTCAAGTCTATATAGTTGTCAAAACTATTCACAGCGTCTCTCAGGGATTCATCAGTGGAGATAATAGAGATTTGTTTGAGGATGAGGAGATCGCTGAGCCGGATGTACCTTCTTCCGATTGGATGTCAAAAATAGGAGTTTGGATATCCGAGGGATTCTTTGTAATGATTTGTGTGAAGGAGCCCGAACTGTCGTTTTTGTCCAGAGGTATTGGGTTTTTCGCGGAGCCTGGTTGGTTTTCGTTCTCATCTATAATATCTATGTACAACCTTTAACCATAGAATTGGGGAGGTCCAACATTTCGACTCGAACGTCTTAATTTAAAATCATTACCAGTGATAATGGTCTCCTTTGGATGCCTTTCCTCAGTAATCGCGTTTTCATCAGAGGAGTCTTCTATCTCGAAAACTGGAAATTCGACAGGATTTTCTCCCTCCGATTCCTTCGTTGTATCCAACGGAGCGTTTGGGCCTTCCGATGTTGCTGTAGTAGAAGGTTTGCTAGGTGAGTGTGAAGTACTTTGGGCTGCTGGTTTTATACTGATTGGACATTCCGCTGAGTCCATCGAAGATTTTATATTAGTTTGATATGTTTGAGGATCTAATGATGAGGTAGGTTCTTCGTTAAAAATGGGGTTATCCGAAATGAAACGTTCTCTTATCATTTTCCTGCATGGAAAACCACCCGCGATCCACTCCCAATCACTAATGTCAGATGTATCCGACGGAATGAACATGGATTCGTCACCTGCTAGATATCAAGTGTTAAAAGTCGAGACTTTATTTCGGGTTCGTTTTGGCTTGTTGGATTTAGTTGGTTGATTTATCCCTCTAGACCTAGTGGTGACCGGAGTAGGCAGCTCTATTTGTCGTCTCGTTTTAGGGCCTAGTTTCCGCGTCTGTTGGGGCTTTGTTTTGTTAGTCTTTCTTGGACCTACTTATAAATCAGTGTTAATAAAAGAAGGGAAACAAATATTTCCTTTGAATGAACGGATTGTACAAGATTTAGACTTTGGGATGGCGATGTCCGATTTTCTAATGATTTTTCCGTCGGATAGTTCAACCGTAGATTTTGTTGAGTTTAATTTTTTCTGACCCAGCTGTTTATAGAAGGGATTTCCGTTTATACTTCCATTCGTCTTTCGGAGTAAATTAGCTTTTAGTGGGCTGTTTAGAGAAACTCGGGAAGATGAAGGTTTTGAAGCTGTAGGGTGGTCTGAATCGTAACCTTTCTCAAGTGGTGACTGGTTCTTCTTTGGTACTAGACAGTCTTTGTGCCCGTCTTCTATCCAATCGTCCGCGTTCCAGTCAAGATCGACTTCCCTTTGTCTAAAAATCCACCGGATAATTTACTAGATGCCAATTGTTTCCAGATCGTGTTCGGTTTTCTATTAAAATGTATTTCGAACGGTGAACATTTTATTTTTGATTGAAAGGAAGATCGTAAGTTCCAAATGATTTTCGAGATAGCAAATTGTAATGTAGGTTTTTGTTGTTCTTGTGACATTGCTAATAATTTAATTTTTACAGTATGAACAAGTTTTTCTACAAGGCCGTTAGAGCGATGGTCCCCAACTGTACAAAATATTAATTTGATATTAGTAGAATTACAAAATAGTTTAAAATCCTGACTAGTAAAACAGGATGCGTGGTCGACATGAATAGAATTAGAAATCCCATGGAGGTAAAAATAATCTTGAAAAAATTCGATTACCGTGTTTGATGACGTTGAAGATGTAATTTTAGCTGATGGAAATTTTGAGAAACGGTCTATACATCATAAAATGTATTTATTCTTTCCCCAGGTGTTATCTAATGGGCCGGCGAAATCGAGGTTAAGTTCCTCATTAGGTTCGGATAAAACGGGAAGTTCGCTAATTTGTGTGGTAGGTACAATGCTTTTTATATTCTTACCAGTTTGGGTGCATTGGGTACAGTTAATCCCATGGAAGTAGATCTGCCGGTTAATGTGAGGCCACCAAATATATTGTGCTAAGTATTTCATACCGAATTGGCCAGGGTGGGATTCGTGTAAAGTTTTTAAAACGGCGTTTCGAAGTGTAAAAGAAATAACCAATTTTCCATCCATATATAATAATCCGTCAGATTCATGAAGGTCTTTCGAAAATTGGTACAGGTAACGGGAATTTGCATTGATGCTTTTTACTTTGTTCTGAAGAGCTTTCACATTTGGGTTTAACATTTTGTCGTTTTTCGTTAGTAATGCGACCATTTTTGCGTTCAATAACGTGTTTAGATCCAAAGGTCTTTCAGGTAACTTGAGATTTTCTCGATATTTTTTTACTAATTTTTTGTGTTCAGAAGAAATTTGGAAATCGATTGAGACCTGTATTCCGGAGGTGGAAGGATTAACTACAATTTGGTTATTAGACATATTTACACAATTTTTAAGTTTAAAATCCGAAGGAATACTAATTAAACTACTATTAAGAATTAAGAAATATATAAAGGCTGATTTTGATAAAAAGATTTTAGTAGGATCAAGGTTTGAAAAGTCCGAGGGAATGCATTTAGAGTTACAAAGTTCTGTTCTATAATGTTTTTGATTGCAAATTGGAATGGAAGAATTAATGAAATTCATTGCTGTAATTATTACGTGATTGCGTAATCTCGTGTAATTGGAATTTTCCAATATTGAACTAACTGATTTAC